GCGCGACAGGTCTCAAGCGGCAAGCATACTTGGGCCTTTAATGACAGAGCCGATCAAAACGATCGAATCAACCGTTTGACATCGGCACCAGCTGATCAGTTCGCCGCTGCTTGCTCTTGCTTTACCTGCTCCACGCTGGTGAAACAAACACCGTGTCCGCGCCAGGGAGCGTCTGTCTCTGTGTGTCTGTGCAGAGCAGGTGCAGGTGCCGCGATTCCCCGGTACCAGCGGTGCTTACAGTACCGTAGATAAACAACAGGTAGGCGTAACGTTTTCAAAACGTTGGCATCGACTCGGTACCAAAGTATCGGTTTCCCGCGACATCCCCAGTAGTGACACAGTCATTCATTAAGTCGTTACCTCTACTGGTGTGTGGAACAAGTTGATCCAAGCAACCAAAAAGCAAATTAATTGATTTTCAGTTACAGAGAAAGCAATGTTTGATTGATCAATGACTTTAACGATTGTTCGATTATCAAAATGATTAATTAATTTTCCTGTTAATCGACTAATGTACAGTATTCACAGCAGCAGAGACACAGGTAGTGCTGACCAAAAATCTATATCACGGTATTTTTTTAAGATTTTGGAGGTTTTACGATATATGACTGTATTTATTTTAATGTTTTTGCATGACTAAGCCTTTGTTTATAGTGGGTTATTATACTGTCAAGAGGACATAGAATATAAACATATTTTCATAATGTTTACTGAAGGTTTTGAATACTGATTTTGATTACTTGCCCCCACAAAAGAATACAACAGATAGACATAAGAAAAGACAACAGCTTTAACATTGCTTCCTTCTCATGACAAAATATATTTAAATAGCTGTATAAACACTATAAAGTATTCAAATAGATATTTCTGTTGCACAAGTAAGAAACAAATGAGTTACAGCAGTTGTTCCTGCTGTGCAAAAGCTACGTATGGCGGTATATGAAAAATTCATATTGTATGTGAAATTAAAACCGGTGCAGCAGTTCATCTGGTATATCGGCCAGCACCAGGCACACGGTGTAATTAATAACACTAACGATGGCTCTGTTCCATTAAGCTATGACAGGCACAATGTCAGGACCCTGAATGTGACACAGCTGAATAGAATGCAGCCTTCATTAACGTCATTAATTACGCCCGTGCGTTTCTTGTTATGACACATCAAGATGTCTGTTGTGAGGGAGATATATTATTGATTGATTAACTGATCATTTCAGCAGTGTGAGTCCTTTTTGTGTTTAGTGGTAGATCTAGGTAGGATTATAATCCAAAGGGTTTGTCTGTGTGTGTGTGTGTGTGTGGTTGGGTGTTCCATGAAGTCCGGTTGTAGGTTTCCACAGAAGCAAATGGTAGGAGAAAGGGCACCTTCAGTCTGAGATTAGCTTAATTGCTTCATTCTTTATTGATGAGAAGTACCTAGACACACACTCACTCTCTCTCTTTCTCGCTTTCATTCATCAGTGATCAGTGTTCATGCTTTCCTATTAGAAACGCTTATACTACATACAGCACAGGGGGCTGCTTGACTGAGGATTTCGCTGGATTATTCTGTAATATAAGGATAATATATAGCTGTGTAAAGGCTCAGTGTATTAGCGCAGAGCCGTTTCAAAGCGTTTGTATGAAAATGCTGTGTGCCTATGTTTACATAAACAGCTGCAGGAATTAGGATTTGTTTTCTTTAGATCCCCTTCTCTTGCAAACATCTGCTGTGTTCACTTGATGTCATTATTGAGGCCACTAAGCACTCAACTTCCTTTTCTCTCTCTCTCGCTAACGCTTGATCTCACTCTTTCTTCCGCTCACCTTGTCTGCTGACACAAATATTTGAAAACTTGCATGTGAATTAGGAAAAAGAAATCAGCACCGCTTGCATTGCAGTGACCTCATCGTGTGGCTATATTTTTCTGCACAATACCGTATTAGAGGTGGCAGTTTTTGAGGAGGGGAGTTTTAAATAGTCTCTACCTCTCCTGCTTATGTCGTAAACCTTTAAATAATTACCTGAAATTATTTTTAGTTTGGCCCCCGCTGCTTCTCCCAGACCTGGATTAAAAAAGCATCTGCAAATCAAAGACAAGAGTATTTTGAAA